GTCGTGCTTGCACTTAGGCTCTCTATATAGATCCTAACTCTATCGCTATACCATATTTCTAAATATTTTTTTGTTTCCCTCAAAAAGACTGTAGAAAAATTATAGACACGATTGTTGAATATGTAGTTTCGCTTGGAGTAATTTTCCGACGGATTTCGGTTCAATTGTATTCGCGATTACACTGATGCGAATAACCCTCGACACACGAGCATTATCGAACTTTGAAGTGGAAATTGGCACAAGTGAAAAAATTTCAGTTTTTTAATAAATTTAATAAATTTAATCAATTTAATAAATTTTTTAATAAATTTTTATGAAGATATACAAAAGAAATTTATGATTATTTATTCTCTTGTATAAAATTGCTTAATTATTTTTTTTTAGATATCACATTTTTCTGTAAGATGCTCTAATTTTCTAAGTCATTTAATGCTTTTAATATAAATACATTTAAATTAAAAGCATTAAATGACTTAGAAAATTAAAGCATCTTACAGAAAAATGTGATATCTAAAAAAAATTAATTAAGCAATTTTATACAAGAGAATAAATAATCATAATTAATGCGTAAATATCAAATATAATGCGTAAATATTTTCAATGTGAAAGAGACTTGTCTGATTGTTTTACATTTTTACTTGGCTTATTCCACTTTTATTTAATTATTGATTATGCCTTCTCTCTCGTTCTTAATAGATATAATATATATAAAGATTTATGGAAACATTCCATAAAGAGAATTTCCATCGAGTCAGAGTTATCTGCATCAGTCATTGTAAGGGACGTATGTAACCTCTGTCTCTCTCTTGTTTTTTTTTGTCTATGCTTCGAGAGCGCAAAATAAATGTTTATCTCTCTCACTCTATCATTTTCACACATGCTTTTTTCCTGCTTTCCTTACACAAGCAATAAATACAAAGTGTCTTTATTATATACGACGTAGTGAAATGTGATTACATTACATTTAGCGCTATTAAACGGAATGGATTAAACGGAATCGTCGATATTACGATGGATACGTTAGAAAAATGAGTAAGTTACACGAGACGATTACAAAGAGTGTGGCAGGATTCAGATATCGTTGTGATAATATTTCATCGATACAATACACAAATGTCCGCGTAACATCAAGAAATTATTTTTCAACTTCGAGATTTTTGGGCTGATAAGCGAGTGCGTTGTCAAAGCCCATACAAAAAAATCGCAACGTGGGTGCGGGACGGAAACGAAAATCATTTACGTTCTTTACATTTTCTTTTTTTTTTTTATAATAAATATTTCCGTCATCGCAACGCACGTCGATCTTGTGCAGATTCTCAAGCAGAACAGAAAATCACAATAATATCAAATGACATCAAAATGATATCAAAATAACATCGAAATGACATCATAATGACTTTTGATAGTCTTATAATATTATTGCGATTTTCTATTCTGCTTGAGTTCTTCTCCCTCTTTAAATATCGCGATTATCTTTCTCTCTCATAATTATTAAATCTCCGAGTACTCACATCCACGTTTTGTCTCGCGGATTCTGCTGTCAGTATAAAATGTACCAAAAGTATCGCTTTCTATCAAAAATCGGAAGTGATGTTAGCTTCGAATAATACACTCTCGTTGTCGTTATTAAAAAACGTACTGGTTGTCCAAAATATACATTGTACGAAAGTGTGAGTAACTGTATGTATATTTCGCTCATGCGTCCGCCTTTTTGATAACGACCACGATAACGATGCTCTGGCAGGTGTGACGGGATATATTTCGATACAAATTACAGTTAATTGTGCGGTACGGCATAGATATTTGCAGCGAAGCGAGAAAGGATCGTATGAATTCTGTCTTAGTGCTTCGCGAAGCTGATCTCGTGCGGTGGCTGGTCCTTCTCCACCATCCACACGCTTCCGCTCTTGCCGCTGTTTAACACTTGTACCAATGCCTTTGCCACGTGTTCCGCCCTATAGAATCGAGTATTTTTTTCAAATCACTTTTATGTATTAATGTCATTCTAAACTTTTTTAAAATCTCATTTGCAATTAAAGATTTTCTTCCTCTCTATTTAATAAAAATATAATTGTAGTGTAATAAACAAAATTACGTTTAGAAAAATGTTATGTGTTACTTTCTCCAAGCATAGGAAAATATACAGGACGTTCCAGATCAGGTCAATGAAACTTCAGGCTTCAAGATGTTATAGGAAATTTAATTTGGAACAAAAAAGTTCCGATAAACATAAGTCCGTAAACACTTCGTTAAAAAATTATAGCTAATAAACTTCGAAAAATCACGTTTTTTGATGATTTTTTAAAATAATTTCAAAACCCTTCATTCATTTGAAAAAAGTAACGAAATAAATCTGATGGATAATTAAATAACAAACTAAATTACACCAATTTTATTTAATTCTGATAAGGCGTTCAAAAGAAAATAAGCTCGAAACAACGAAAAAAGCAGAAACTTGAAAAAAACCATCTTTCGATTATCTTTATGTAAACATTACATTCGTAGTGCAAACATTGCAAATGCAAACATAAAAATGTTCTTATTAAATTTTAATTATAACTAATTATTTACAGAGAGTTTATTAGCTATAACTTTTTAACGAAGCGTTTCCGGATCTATGTTTATTGAAATTTATTTATTCCATATTCAATTTCCTATAAGACTCTGAAGTTTTATTAATCTGACCTAAAACACTCTGTATATTTTCCTATGCTTGGTGAAAGTAACATAATATTTTTCTAAAATTATAATAATAAAATTTTGTTTATTACACTACAACTATATTTTTATTAAATAGAGAGGAGGAAAATCTTTAATTGCAAATGAGATTTTAAAAAAGTTTTTATAAAATGGTTATTACTCACATACATTATCTTATTCATAATTAGAAAACATAATTTTATGAAGCTAGTTATTTAGAGATACAAAGAGGAAAGTTGTATGATAATATACCTTTGAGGAATTGATGAAGCTGTATCCCTTTGCCAGGCATCTTCGTATCGAGCCAATAGAAGCTTCCTATTGACATCTCGTACTAATTTGGTGTCCGTGGCACTTGGACAAAGTGCCATCACTTTAACGCCCGTCAAATCTACGTGATATTGATCCTATTCAAAAATTGAGAAAAAAATTAATACTTCTCTATCTTTTATGTATTTAATTTAATAAAAATGTAAACATAATTTTTAAAATTTCTCTAAATCTGCAAATGCAAATTTCGTTGTTTATTGTTTAATTATTGTTTTGTTTAATGTACTAATAGCAAATGCTAACTTCGAATAAATGCTACATTTGCAAATTTTAATAGAATAATATAAATATAGATTCAAACGAATTGACCTCTATGTAATTAAATCCATGCATTAAAAAAATGATAGACAAATTGATGACCCACATCTCTGTTATTACGAGTTAATAATTATGATCGATAGTATAAGATTGATATAAGTAGACACTCTTACCCCAAAAGCCCTGGTAAGGCTGACAATAGCTGCTTTTGTCGCGGAATAAATTGGCACGCTGACATAAGGGTTGATGCTGACGTTGCTGCCGGTGTTAATAACGACTCCACCCTGACCACCCCTATCCGTGCCCATAAATCGTTGAGCAAGCAAAGTACCGCGTATTACTCCGTTCTGTAATTATTGTATTTGCGACGTTAAATTTTTAACACATATATTAAAATTATTTTATCGTTGAAAGTTGATAATATTATCATATATGCAATGTACAGAGTCATAAATTATAATACAAATTAAAAAAAAAGACACATAGATCGCTATACAGACCGTTTCAATTAATGTAAGAAATAACAGATTAAAGTCTTCAGTAACACACTATAAGATAAAAGATGTAAACATATTGAAGGGGGTTTATCGGATATTTGCTTACAAGATTAATGTCTACTTCAAGCTCCCAAAACCGGTCATTCATGATACCAGCATTGTTGATAACGATATCGATATGACCAAACTCCGCGATCGTTGTCTGAAACGATTCTGTAAATTGAATTGCATCGTATGCTACATAAAAATTGCATTAGGAATAAAAGCAAAATATTTATGTACATATGTATGCGTTAGTCGTTTATGCGAATAAAAATAAATCTACAATAAGACAAAGAATTATCGCGCCAATTATCATACCTTCAAGTTGCGGATAATCCGTGACGTCACATTGCGAGAAGATCACACGATCTTTACCATATTTCGCAGCTAATGTCTCCACCAATTTCTCCCCTTCTTCGGTGTTAATATCACATACAGCCACCTGTACATAATACAATATTATTATAGCAAGTTTTATATTATATTCGCAAAAACTATTTAAAGACCTATTACTTTATTTTGAATATTCTTAATTAAAATAAGTTGCAAGAAAAAAAGACAGTAAGAAAAATTTATTAAATTTGATTATAAAAATTTGTAGTTCAATTTGATATGTTTATAAAATAATTTAAGTTTATTTGTCTTTCTTTTAAAACCTTTAGATGTACAAATTTTCGTCGAGATTAACCAAAAATAAAATAAAAGATTTTAAAATAATATAAAAAATATATTTATATTATATCACAGAATGTGAAAGTTTTGAATAAAGCAAATATATTTCGAAATATATAATATATATAGTATGTACATTATATATATCAATCGCCAAAAAATATGGCGATTTATTTTCTTAGATCTCATCTTGAATATACGATAAATTTCTCCTCCGTCTGAGAGCAATCTAAATTTAAATCAGCTGTTTTGAAAAAAAAAAAAACGCGAAGGATTCTTGAAGCGTTGTTTTCGCGCGAAATTCCGAATCATAAAAACACACTACACTCATTGTTCAGAAAGAAAATCGAATAGTCGTATTATTAAAATAATTAATTCTGTTTTTTTCTTAAAAGAAAAAGATAATTTGACAATACAAAAAGTATAGAGAATTTATATAAATGTATTTTCTCTTAAAAAATATCATATATACCTTGGCGCCCTGATTCAACAATTCGATGACATAAGCTTTGCCGATGCCAGATGCGGCGCCTGTCACTAGGGCAACTCGCCCTTTTATTTCCATTTTCCTTAAATTCTTGTCGACTCTTGCACTTGCAAATAATATATAAAAAATATAAAATATAAAAATTTTAAAATATCATGGCTATGTTATAAAAATATGTTTGGATTAATGTTTTTATACACTAATAGAAAGAGTATAATATTATTTTTAATACACTCTCTTTGCGCGTAAAAGAATATTTTATTTATTTAACGCATTAAAATTAATTAATTAAATGGAATTTAATTGCTACTTTGTTACGACTAATGTAATATATAGATTCTTCAAAATTTCTTTATTTACTTGACTTTGACATCTGTGTTGTGTCTAACTAATTCATGTATTTCTCAGAGAAAGGTTTTGTATATGTGTATATGCGAAAATATAAAAATAGAAATAAAATATAATCCGCGTCAAACACTACAAAAGTTTTTGCCATTTTTCTCTTGCTTTATCATTTCTTGTATTACAATGACAGTATTAATTTATATAATGCACTGGCACATGTCATTTTCTCATTTCATATATTTACGTTGACATACATATGACTAGCGAGTAATATAATGTTTTACTATAAAAAAAAAAAAAAAAACACTCGATAAAAAATACTTTTTTCAAAGAGAAGATTTATATTTTGAATTCTTTTAGTAATCTCTAACATTGTACGCCCGTGAATTTTTACAAATCGCCTTTGGCTCTTTTTCTTTTATGAGAAATCAATTGAAATGTGTTCCAATGGAAGCGGGCATTCACAAACTTAGCACACAGCCTTTTCATCTGTCGCTTTGACTATTGCAGCATATCTCGAGATTAGCGAGAAGTCAAAAATTCAGGGATCAAAGATCTCAAGTAAATTAAACGCGCAATTTGCATTTCAAAAATTTACCATGTAATTTGCCAAATTCACAACATCATTAAACACCCTCGAATAAAACATCACAATAACAATTTATCTATTATATGTCGTCTGGTTCGGATGTTCTCTCTGTCTACCTTATCGAGATTAAATATTTTCGCTGATTTGTTCTTTTCACTGTGTACCTTTTAGATTCTTTCGCCCACGTTGACTTTTCTCAACAGGCTGGGTATAAGCTGATGAACTGGATAGTTTGCGTGTTCGGATGCAGTGGTCCAGACGAAGCTTTTCCTCCGTTAAAGGGACGTAGTTGACGGTACTGAAGCAGCGAAAGGTGTGGTTGGTGGCTGATAGTGTACTGGCTGAGTGACGATCACGACGGTCGGGGTGTACACCCGGTATAGTCTGATATTGATTGGTGCGTCTGCGTGCCATGCGGGTGTGCGCGACGTCGGCCGGTGCGTGCCCTTCACGCACGTGCGTAAATGCGTGTGATTCTCCAAGGCAGACTATTCGGCGGCCTTACACGTCGTCATCGGTACCGTGGTCCCTTTTATTTTTAGAACGGCATCGAAAAAAGCGACCGCGCCCTGAAAGCAAAAATTTGAGATCTTCCTCTAAAAGTATTGGACTTTTATTGATTCTTACATTTGCAAATGTAAAAAAAATAAGGATACCATAAAGATACCATAGTTATACTATGCAAATAATTTGGATCAATGTATTAATATTATATTATTTTTGCAATTATCTAATTGCATAATTAAGCTTGTGCATTTTTGCCAAAAGTAAAGAAGAGTTATTGTTTCATTTTAATTTTAGTTATAAAGAAATTTCTAGTTCGAAAAAACATATACAATTTTCCTTCTTTTTAGATTTTTATATTTATTATTATTCTGTTAATATATTAATTTTATATTTTTACTACTAAAATAATAATGTTTTTTTTTTTTTAGTTATTAGATGCATTCCGATATCTCAATCTACAGTTCATTTTCGACACACTTTGTTTTCTCGGTTTTATATAATCAGTCATTCCCGTTAATGATAATAAAAGTATTCAAGTTATCATCGATTTTATCATTAGTATGTTTATACCAAGTACTCCACTATCACACAAAAAAATTTCAAATAAAAGATTGATTTTAAGTTTTTTGAAAAAGATAGAAGGAAGTAGAGTCAAATCGAATATTTGTTTATTTTCACAAAAAGCATACTGCGGTGTGATCTTAAAGATTAATAAACATTAAAAATGTGCGCAGTATTTTATTTAAAGTATTAACTGTTCAATTTTATTATCGACTTTCTCTTATTTTTCATAAAAATATACACAGATCTAAGGTTTAATTCACACAGTTACTTTACTGGTTTTCTAAAAAATCTTAAAAAATCTTTTCAAATGCAATGTGAATAATAGCAATCTTAATTAAACAATCGGGAGATGACACTTGATACAATGTTGCCTCCGCGGATAACACGGATCTCGCGCGAGAAGAGACCCTGACAAATCGAACGTCATACACAGATCGCGAGGTCAAAGATCGTCAAACGAAAACAGTGGATTCTTCTATATCAGTTCAAGGAGGTTCTCAGACTAACCGAAGATTCTCAGCTGGTGATCACAGCATCCAAAGAAACATCTCTGCTTGTCGATTACGTGCGATTAATCGTTTCACGTAAAATTCCTTCGACATAAAAATCGCGAACAAAAGTTGATAGTTTTAAAGTATCGAGTTCTTTTATAAGTGAAGAGTAAATTCAGAAAAAATCCAGTAGCTGATAAAATTGAAGGAAAGATGCAGATCAAGGATAAACGGGTTATAGTGACTGGAGCGACAAATGATTTGGGTCTGACATTTAGCAAAGAGCTGCTGCGGAATGGCGCCTTGGTACGTTATTATTTAATGATTATGAGATTATACACGTGTGATATTAATCTTGTATCCGTGTATTAATATATAATTCAATATTATTTAATAATAACTCCTTCCACACATCATTATACATTTTTTTTTACTCTCAATAATATTCTATATTAGATTCATCGCAACGGTTTTACATATGCATGTTTTGTTTTATCTTCTTTCTTTATCAATGAAAGTCATCAGTTGTTGTAAAGATTAATAAAGCGTGGTTAAACGCCAGCGTGGTTAAACGCCAAACATAGTTTTTCAGCCTGTAATTTGTGGTATTATATTATTACTTTCATTTTGATAAATTATGCCTTTATCTTTGGTTATAAATGTAGGAAAACATAAAAATTTTGTTTGTGCTCGATAAATATTATTTACTTCATTTTATATCTCTTACTTATCTTATTTAGTACGATTTATAAATTAATAGAAAGAGAAATAGAAGGAGAAATATCGTATTTAGATACAAACAATTACATACACATACATCAAATTAAAAATATTTGTATTATCTAATAAATTGCCTAATAATTTATTATTATTAGTTAATAGTTTTGAAATAAATCTTCAATTTGCGAAAAGCGCAGAAAAATATAAAATACGAAAAGCTTCACTGTTGTAATATTAATCTACATAATTTAGATATAAATAAACGAAAATGTTTATCATTAAAAAATATAAATAATGTTATTCGCATTTACAAGATAAAGTTTGCTATTAATAAACAAAAAATAAAAGTTCTTCCAATCAGTGAAATGTAAATCACGCGGCACATAATAATTCTGAAATATTCATGAGAAATGGATGTAAATCATTTTATATAATAGGAACGTAAATATTTTTAGATTATAGCTTTGATCGATATTCGGCAATCTCCCGGAGAACAAGCTGTAAAGAATTTGAATAATGAGTTTGGCCGCAAACGTGCTGTATTTTTGCATTGCGATGTGACGAATAATTCCGAATTTAACAGTAAGTACATATATATATATATATATATATCAGCAAAAATAAAATATTTACTATAAAGAATATATGCTTAGATAATTTTTCTTATCTAGCGTACTTTATTTCCAATATTTCCAAATCACACAGTCTTCGTTAATATACTTTATTAATACGCAAATTAATTACTTGCGCGTATATAAATAATCTGTAAAAATCAAATTTATTTACGCTTATAACTTTTCCATGTGTTTGTTATCTATCTGTATAAAATTGAAACTTGCTTACTTAATATTGCAGTCACGTTTAAAGAGGCAATCAACATTCTCGGTGGGCTAGACATTTTAATAAATAATGTTGACGTGATAAACGAAATTGATTTTTCCAAAGCTATCGATATTAATGTGGTAAGTTTTATTTTTAATATATTGTTTTAATTTCGCATTTATTGCATTGAGTTTAAGAAAATTGACTTCAAATTTATACAAGAGTTTACGAAATATTTTTTGCTAGAATAATCTTTTCTTTAAAAGAAAAATTTATCAACGCACTTTAAAAGAAAAATTTATCAATGCAAAATGTTACGAAATGTTAAATGTGACTAATTGTGTTTTAATTTTAAGTAAAGCCGCGTAATAAAGTAATCTTAAGTAAAACAAAAGATTTTTTGAAATATTAATCTTTTTTATATTATTACAGACAACAGTAATTCGTGGGACTCTTCTGGGAATTCAACAAATGCGGAAGGACTCTGGAGGCAAAGGCGGTGCCATCGTAAATATTTCGTCCACTGCCGGATTAAGAGCAGTATCTCAGCTTCCGGTATATTCTGCTACGAAACACGCCATAGTTAGTTTCAGCCGGTCTTTTGCAGTAAGTATTTACATGACAAAATATACCGTAAAAATCTATTATAACAAAAAAATTAAAAAATAAGAAATTAATAGAGAAAAAAACATATTAAATTTTTTAAATATATAGAAATAAATTTTTTGCAAAAGTCAAAATATATATGTGTGCGTATGATATTTCAACAATATAAATGAGTGACAATTATTTTCTGTTTTGTTTTCTATTGTTCTTCTAGCAAGAGATCTCTTCTTTAAAAAAAAAAAAAGTGATTCTCGTCTAATAAGTCAGCCTAATCTAATATTTTTAACTTACAGCAACCTTATCACTATGACAGAACCAATGTAAAAGTAATTGTTCTGTGCCCTGGTTTAACTGGTACACCAGTCTTAGAAGATCTACCGCAAGGTATTTCTAGCGCTGACATTTTACAGAAGTATCAACCGCAGAGGTAAGATTACCGTTAATCCATATTTTTTTTGTAAGCTCTCGAAATTTGTATAAAATGTAAAAATAAAATCTGTCAATAGGGTGGAGAGCGTCGCTCATGGATTGATATATGTAGTCCGTTGCGCGCAAAACGGCAGCGTGTGGATTAACGAGGAAGGAAAACCGGTTTACGAGGTGCAGCTTCCCGACACTTTGCCGCAGAAGAAAACCGAAGTCGACATGAAGGAAAATTAATACGAAGTTGATCGGAGATTAAATATTCCATACGTCAATCGTATAACAAATAATATCAATATATTATAGTTTTTGTTTTTGTGAAAGATCTTATTTGATAAATCTATTATTAATTTAAATTATAATATATAATGTAAAATATTTGTAACAAATGCTTAATATATATAATAATAAAATAAATAAAAGTTTGTTATATATCTCTCTCTATCTTATTCACACAACTTTTTATACATTTCATCTTTCTCACTTTTTAGAACCAAGCATGGATGTAAAATATATATATTAATAATAATACATATGTTAATAATAATATTATTAATAATAATGTTTTGTAGGAATAATAATTTATATTAATTTGGTGAGTTGTAGAATATGATGCATACACACAGAAAAATATTATTCTATTGCTAAGTAAAATGATTACTCAGTTTACTTTACTTTATAATATATATATAAGCTATATATAAAATTTTATATATACGCGCGCATCTAAAAGTATGTAATTTCTTTTTTCCTCTTTATATTCATATTACATTCATGAAAGAGAGGCAACAAATAAATATATTGCGATAATAAAAAAAGTAATGGATTGATGTAAAATATTTTTTCAGGCCACACAAATTTAAATCTGCCACTGCGTAATAAAATTAAAAAATAAAATTTAACAATAATAATATATGAATAATATTCTACAAAATAGTTACTAGTTATAAAGTACGACCAGATATTAATTGCTTGGCAAATAAACTATAATCTTACGCGTGCATGAACGTATCCGTGAACTGGTGCACCTCCGAATCGATGCAGATAAAGTAATATGAACGCATAAACGCACATAAAGGATCTCGCACGTTTACTATGCGCAAACGAATATACATAATACGATAAGTAAGCAAAAATCATAAAAGAGAAATTACTTTTGTCCCGGTTCGGAGTAAAGTTCGATCAGAACCGACTCGTGCCGGTTACTGGTATCTGCTCGAGGCTGATTCCTCCGCGCGTATCCTTCGCTAATTTATCGTCGGCGCGACGCCGACCGAACGTTAAGTGCATTTTTTCTATTGATAAGACGTAGCGAGCGCGAGCTGTGCGCACGTCAAGCTTTTATCGCCGTTTTGTGCCACACGACTGCACCGAGTGCGTTATTTCTAAAGTTCACCCATACGAGTGATTGACAATAAACGCCAGATAATTTGAAAATATTGCAGGAACGCAGCGATCATCAGCTTCTTCTATCGCGTTGCCTTCTTCTTAAACTCTTATACATATATATTTAATAAATTGGTCAGAAAAAATAAAGAAGAGATCCGATGGCTTTAGCAGATGTCTTGTATATTAATATAAAGATTAAATATAAATAAATAAAGATATATAATATAATTATGTAATAATATATAAAAATTAGAATTAAACTTGCTAAATTTAATATTTTGATGTCTATTTCGTTCTAGATTCAAAATTTACAATTGCACAAGGATATAAAATTACATAAGTTTGCTAATAAACTATTCACGGTAAATGACCATCATATTTTTTTCTTATTTCATCTTATAATCATCTATTAATCTAATAATGAATCTAACATTTTTTATATAACCGATCATTCTAAAATATACATTCAAACACTTTTGTCGAATAAGAGTATATGAGTCTAACGCAGGATAAGAGATAGTCGATTCTTAAGTTTCTGAAATCATTAAGGATATAGACTTTTTATGAGAAAATAAAAAATTTTTCTTTTTGAGAGATCGTAATCGTTCGATCGATGCATTAATCCAAAGTCCATCTGAACATCCCCGCCACGACGAAACTCGCGATGAAGTCGCGGTATCGTGGAATCCCACATCGCTGCTTACTGTATATAAATACTTGAAGGACCGTTTCCAAGTTCAGTCAAAACGTACGTATTAGCACGAGCTCTCGATTCCTCTCGCTTCAACTTTATTTCAAACTAAGTTCTCCGAAAGTTGGCTGTGCCTATCTTTAAAATATTCATAACAGTTTCGTTTAAAAGGAAATTGAAATGGAAAAGGAAATGGGTAGGTTCGGTCTTTTTATGAAACACATATCTGTCGTATTCTGAAGTCACTTTGTGATTCGATAAAGTGCCTCGATGTGAAAAATGTGCAATTTAAAAAATGGTTTTTTGAATTCTGTGAAATTCTTTAGATATTCGAGATGTATTGTAAAATCGCACAAAAATTATGTGATATTTATTGAAAAAATGCAATACAACAGATCTGTTTTCAACAGAGTGTTCTTTTGGATAGCTAAAACGCAAGAAATTTTCAGCGCGCGTGAAAAAAGTTTATTAAGTATTAAAAAGTTTTAATGAAAGAATCAGATATTGACATTTGGAAATTTTGTTAAATGTTTTGCTATATATTTGCTAGTATTTCATTAATGAGATTTATAAATGAATGAAAATACGAAAAGTTATTGCATTTAATAAATATCTCAAATCTTAGAAAAAAATTCTTACGGTAAGAATTCGGATTGACAAGATTCAATTAAATATTCCGTTTTTTTTCACCAGGTATGTAATCTGGACATATAAATCAATGGATAATTATTCAATATATGATACATCAAATAATAAATAAATCATTGCTAAAAAGTGTGAATTTGTCTTTTTGTACTTTCTCTTTTTTTAATGGATTTCACATTTAATTTCATATAAATAATAATAAACATAAATGCAATATAATTTTAAACAACATAAATCAATATCATCAAAATATACTATGATTCTTTCAATGTAAAATAAATTTTCTTTTCTATTTATTGAGCAAATTTTATATTACAGATCCAAGTCCGAGATCATCCCGCCGACGTTCATCGGCATCTGAAAGGGCGAAGGAAATAGAAGCAATCAATTGCATTGTTTCTGGAAAAAATATTCTAATAACTGGCGGTGCAGCAGGATTGGGTCACGCTTTCCTCAATCATTTTTTAAAGCACGGAGCAAATGTAAGTTTAACGATTAAAATAATAACTATCAATTACATAAAAATTAAACAAAATTGTATCTATAAAAATACATACAAAAATAATTTCATATATAAATAATTCTATGAAAAAATTTATAATATATATATATGTGAAATCTCTCTCATATATATAATCTGTTGTTTAAATAAGATTTAAACTTTTCGTTATAAATGTGTATCTATTTATAAATTAGAACAATTAATATTATTCTGTATAAATTATAAAAAATGATCTTTTATCACATCTAACGATAAATATAAAATATATTCCTTTTCTTCTTATTAAATCTATAAAATGACGTTGGGAGAAAGATTCTCTCTCTCTCTCTTTTCTATATATATTATAAAGTATCGATATCATTGACGTTGTTATAATTTTTAACTCGTATTTGTTTCAGAAAATAATTATATTGGACATCGATATTGAAACCGGCAAACGGATCGCACTCGGTATCGAAAAATCTTGCGGCGAAAAAAAGGTGTATTTTATACACGCCGACGTATCTAATCACAAGCAAATGATTGGTAAGTATGAAGCAACATTCCGAAATCACGTACAGATGTTTATTCAACATTATAATCGCTCAACCTCCCATCGAGTACCATTATCTTATTTTGGATTTACCATATCAATTTGTAGACGCTTTCGAAGAAGCATCTTCGTTGTTGGGAAGCATTGACATCGTGATAAACAACGCCGGAGTTTTGGACGAACGAAGATGGGAAAAGGAAATCGCGGTGAATATTGTGAGTATCATTAATAACAATCTATTGATTTATTAGTAATTTATTAATGTCATTAATGATAATTTTTTAATTTTATCATTTCCTTACCCTGTGTGCTCTTACGATATTTTTCTAAGACCTTGAATACCTTATATTTTTACATATTTCAATCAGCTCTTCGAGATTGTTGCTGTGAAATGATTTTGTAAGCACATTGCGCATAAGCAAATATAAAAAAAAAATTAGAAAGTAAACGTTATTAATAAGAGTAATAATAAAAATCGAAGATGTCTTAATATAAATTTAAATCCTAATATAATATATTGGTCTCATTATAGGGTGGCATGATCAGCACTGCGATGTTAGCTATGAAATACATGAGTAGAGATACGGGTGGTCACGGTGGTGTCTTGGTGAATGTGAGCCAACACACGGATATTCGAAACACGGCTCAGCTTCCGGTTTATATTGCCACCAAACACGCCGTCATTGGTTTATCGGAATCTCTTTCGGTAATTATATATATAAATAATTAAACACAGTTATAAGTGTTTCGATTATTTAAGCAAGTACTACGTAAATGGTTATTTGTATAAAATTTCTCTCTGACAAATTTATGCTACCATATATGTTAGTGTTCTTTTAAATTATAAGAAATATCGAAGTCTTCAATTTTTATCATTCACGAATTTTCCATTATGCTTCTTGACAGGATCCTTGTTATTACGAGAAGACTGGTGTTACCGTGATAACTTTGTGTCCAGGACTGACGGAAACCGCCCTGACGGTAGATAGCCCCAACAAACTGCTCTCCAGAGTCATGAAGGCGGATTTCGTCAAAAATCTTGAACAATTCTCGATACAGACGTAAGTCATACCATTGCTATTGTCTTTACAACATGATAGATGAATCAGCCAGATAAGAATGCCGGATTTATATTCGCTGCGTAATTATTTTAATCGCAAATAAATTATTTACAAGTGTTCTTCTCTAAGCTCCCGTGATTTCCGAGACCTGACATTCCTCGCATAACTGAAGAAGCTGTAGCTGTTTAAAATGCAGCTCGCGTTTAGCTTGTAAATCCGACCCTGTAGTGAAACGTTACATTTTTCTCCTTCGGTGGTTACGTGTAATCACTAACTCGGGAGATAAATTTCTCGATGTTTTGCTATTTAATCGTGTTATTTTTACAGACCTTATGTAGTCGCGCAGGGTTTAATGACGATATTGAGGATCGGCGAATCCGGCAGTATTTGGGTCATCGAGAACGGCAGAGCGCCTTACGAGATTTACGTGCCGAATCCGCAAACACTACGCCGTTATTACAAGAACAACTTTTCACACGTCGACATTAAGGTCGTGAAAGGTCGCATGATAAGGGAAGTCTGCGACAACAGTAGAACAGGCCTGATGAGCTGCGCCTGAACGCACGCTGATAATTAAACAAGGGTTCGACCGTAATCTCTCTCGTTCTACTCAGCGCTGAAAATCTTTTCGCCCAACGTCTACGTGGCAGACGCGTTGTCAATCGAAGAGACTTCGCGTATGAAGACATTTTACGCACAAATATAACCGGAGCGCGAAAGGGACGAAATGCAGTTTTAAAGCGAAAAGTTGTGATATTTCGCAAAAAATCTGTTCTTTCGCGATTATATCACGTATCCTCCGTAGATTATTTTTTATATTAACAAGTTCTATGCGCATTTTCTGCCATCTGGCTGAACTCGTGCGCTGGTCCATATTTCATAAGTAGTTCATAATTTTCTAACATATTGCATACATATCTGAATTTATCTTTTTAATCGAAACTTCCGATTGTATGTAGATATTTTTGTAATAAAAAAATTTATAATAAATGATTTAAAAAAATGATATATCGATATATAGAAATGAGAACTTAAAATCTTATGCAGATTTCACAGGTTTACATTAGCATTTTTACACTTAATTCCTTGATTCCTTATGCTGTAAACTCCCAAATTCATTATAAATAGAAAGAATGATATGGGAATTTCGGTTACGTTGATGCTAAAAATTTGATAGTTTGCATATGCACATTAGTACAGTATGCGATAATCACTTTCGAGCGATTTAAATTCGCCATTTAAAAACAAAACATAGGACAGAAATAGAAAAACATAATTGCTCCCGGTATGTTCGAATCGCGATAAACTAACGCGACCTGTTAATCTACGGAAGGACGATAATAAATCACTGTAGTTAGCATTCGCTTATCAAGCATTTAAAAAAACACTGGATGTAGCGCGTGGAAGACGCAATTTTTTACGCACATTCTAATCACATCGTGTATAATACGCAGCGCATTTCAGTAGCATCAAGCACACGATAGCCTTGTATTTAACATACGTTAGGGTCCTATATATTAAAGACGTTATATAATTCTATTTACATCCAAGTACATCTCTTTTTTGGAAACCGCACAACACTTATCTTTTACATCCCAAATCGCTCATTTAAATTTACGTAATCCGGCATTTAAATTCGTGAAACTCTCACGTTTGCATTCATCGAAGAGGAATCACAAGAAAAAGAATCTGCATGAATATTTTACAGTAATATTTTTTCGACATTACAACTTCTTGAGGAAACACGAAATTGTTTTATTTCACACTCGAGTATTATGGAAAAAAAGTGCGTAGGAGATTGGAAATGACACGACGACGTGTTATTTCATCATTTCAATATTATTCAGCATCGGGAATCACAATATATCCGCTGTACAAAACAAAAATTCATTCTCGCGTATATTATATTTTATTTCTTTCATATGCACGAGGCATGAAACTTAAAAGTTAAATTTTCTCACCACTGTATTTTCTATTTGCGTATTTCGTTTTATATTTCCTATGATTCGTTTTATTTTACTCTGCGTTTCCTCTGATAGCTTATTGGAGATTTGCTTATCAGTTATATAAATTTCAAGTTATGTGTGTATGTGTGTGTATGTTTATGTATGTATTTATATAATATCTGTATGAGTTGGACTCCATATGAGCCATAGAAAAATAATAGTCGCAAATAATATTCTTATTCTGTTTCTTCCACGTCTTATATTTTTAAGGACATTATCATGCTTTTAGTCTTACTTGTATCGCCATTTAACACAATTCTACGCGCAGTATCGTCATGTGTCAAAAAGGATTCTTCGAAAGCGTGAATAGTCAACTACAATCGAATTACAATGACAAAAATTATCTTTATGCATTTAACACTTTGGAAATCTTTGCCACGATTCATTTTTACACTTAACGCATACAAACCCAGTTCATCGTTTATGTATACAGAAAATTGTTCTTGTTTCAAGACTAGAACGCTTGAATAAATGTATAAAAAGAAAATCAATTAAGAAATTATGATTTTACTTGAATATACATGTATGATCATTATTTAACATAAATAATTATTTAAATACGTTGTTTCTCCTCCACATATATGTATTTTGAATATAAGTGCTCCAATTTCTTCCTAAGTATGTATATTATCAGAATACCAGAGAAAAAAAAGAGATGTACATATATAATTGGCAAAATAATAACTTAAGATATAATTATAAATAATGTGTGCACCTTTGAAAAACATTGATTTTAATTGGCATTATAAATTATAAATTTAATATAATTTATCATTGATTATATAATGTAGGTTTAGAGTTCCATTTAATGAAAATACTCAATATATTCGAAAGCAATCGAGGAATCCTTAGTTTAGAACACGATGACAATAATGTAACATGATTTAGAACTTAGCTACTTACAACAATACGACTGACGCTTACAACTTTCATAATTCTAGACGCAGATCTTACAAAGAAAGAATAAACAGACCGCAAGCTTCCAATTTAATAATACAAAAATTCTATATAAACTGGTTTTCTCTCATTTTCCCACTTATTATATATTCATCTATCTTAATAAAATTATATGTTTACATGAATTCCATGCTAAGCACTTGAAGAATTTTGTCTGCGTATGCTCAAAAGAAAAAAAAGAAAAAACAAAACAAAATAAAAGGATATCTTTTTTCGCCAAATTTGCCTTGTACTATATATTTCACAGTATTTCTATTCTCGACAAATGCAATTAGATACAATCGATTTTTACATACTTTGATGAGAAAGTACTTTTATGCACGTCTGTTACCATCCACTTCCGATATACGGATACAAACCAGCTATTCCATAACGACCAGTATCATCAAGTCACCATCATCATAAAGCCATTCCATAATTATTTATAGTCAAGTCTTGAGAAAACCGGACTGAAGAATGATCACGATCGAATTGTACAATTTTTCCTAGCTACAAACTAATTTGTTTAAAGTGTAGCTTCAGATTAAGAATTTTTCTCATTAAGAATTTTATCGATAGACACATACTTCTAATTAAATAAAACTTATGACTATTTCCCCTCCCATAATTTTCTTCCTTAAATGTTCTTATATCTGAATCCACAAATAAGTATCAATATAAAAAAGAAGGGTAAGGAACAACATCCTAGTTGTAATTGACTTTACTTCCCTGACGAAAATGTATTTTTTTTTTTCTTGACGCCAACTCATCGTGATCATTGTCGACTAAGCGATAAGAAAATTTGTCTCTAAAAGTACCTTCTTCGATCTCGTCGCAAAATATCGATGCAAAGAGTCATATGCGCCAGAAACGTCCATATGTGCGATTCTTGTCATCTAACTCCACACGTAACCACCGGTTCGGCGCTTGCAAGAAAAAAAAAAGCGCGCTTCCTTATACAATATAATCTACAATTACGCCGGCCGCGTGTATCTTTTGTTATTCGATTGCCAAATTCTAACCCAAATCAGTCCGTAACGGTAGACCACATATCGTAAAAATCTTAATCTATAGTTCAATACTTATATATAGCAGCGCATCGCTCATACTCCGCGGCATATTACTTATACTCTTTTACGCCGTACCGGTGACAAATTACATTCTTCCTTTATATTTAAATAACGTTCGTCTGCGATTGAGAGGCAGACTGTTCGTTGGTCGCGCGATTTTGACTCACCGTATTATTCTGTAGTTGGTTAGGAGGCTTTCGATTACCGCCCCTGCTACCTCGATAGCCACCCCGGAAACCGGGGTTGCCACCACCGCTGCCTCTGTACATGTTTCCCATTCCGCGAGTGAAATAACCACGGCCGCGGAATCCTCCGCGTCTCGTGGAAGCTACGCCAAACGTTTCCGAATTCAGCTTTCGTTCCGTTCTCCAATCCGTGCGTTGGAATCGCCTAAAAAAAATTCATGTCAAATATTTCATAAAAATACTAGTGAAGAAATAATATAAAAAATCCAACGTGCAACAGTCATTTCGTTATATCAAAGAATTAATTTTAAAGTTGAGAAAATTAAATTTATATTTGGATTAAAATAAACTTAGGGGTACTTGGATTCAAATACTCTTAACAAATTTTTTACAATCTATTTTTATAAATCTTTAAACAAGTATACGCGTGTGTTAATATGCTGTTGTATTAATTTGTTTTAAATTGTACAATAATTATATCCACTGAACATTTTTAATAACATACCCTTTACTCCTTTCGACAGCTTCACAGCTAATATTATCAAAGAATGACTTCGATTTATCATAGTGAACAATCTCTGGTTCTTCCTCAGGTTCACCTTCACCCGCGCCTGTTTCATTCCCACTGTCGTCTTTCTTCTCGTTGTCTGTGCCATCGATCTTCGTTTTTGCCAATTGCGATCTGAAATATATAAAAAACAATATATTTTATTATATCATTAAAAGTAATTTTATAATACAATGTTAATGCGAAGCGTAAGCAATTCATATATTATGTACGATTGCTTTAAATTCGCATTGATTTACTTTTGCATGGTATCCACATTGGTCATTTCAATGATTACTTGAAATGAATCCGGCACGTAACCATGCGAAATCAACATCCAATGAAACATTTTTAGTCTTACCTCAACTCTTCGAATTCAGTGTTGGCTTGCTCGAAATCATAGTCATTGTCAAATTTGAGTGTATTCTTAGGCTTGGCACCAGCGTTGCCTGCTTGAATCGTACGGAAATTACCGCGTCCTCTACCTCCTCCTCTACCTCTCATATTGCCGCGATTCACCCAACCACCTTGGGGATGATGACCGCGGTTACCTCGACCACCTTGGCGGGTTCGACCGTAATCTCTCTCGTTCTACTCAGCGCTGAAAATCTTTTCGCCCAACGTCTATGTGGCAGACGCGTTGTCAATCGAAGAGACTTCGTACGAAGACATTTTACGCACAAATATAACCGGAGCGCGAAAGGGACGAAATGCAGTTTTAAAGCGAAAAGTTGTGATATTTCGCAAAAAATCTGTTCTTTCGCGATTATATCACGTATCCTCCGTAGATTATTTTTTATATTAACAAGTTCTATGCGCATTTTCTGCCATCTGGCTGAACTCGTGCGCTGGTCCATATTTCATAAGTAGTTCATAATTTTCTAACATATTGCATACATATCTGAATTTATCTTTTTAATCGAAACTTCCGATTGTATGTAGATATTTTTGTAATAAAAAAATTTATAATAAATGATTTAAAAAAATGATATATCGATATATAGAAATGAGAACTTAAAATCTTATGCAGATTTCACAGGTTTACATTAGCATTTTTACACTTAATTCCTTGATTCCTTATGCTGTAAACTCCCAAATTCATTATAAATAGAAAGAATGATATGGGAATTTCGGTTACGTTGATGCTAAAAATTTGATAGTTTGCATATGCACATTAGTACAGTATGCGATAATCACTTTCGAGCGATTTAAATTCGCCATTTAAAAACAAAACATAGGACAGAAATAGAAAAACATAATTGCTCCCGGTATGTTCGAATCGCGATAAACTAACGCGACTTGTTAATCTACGGAAGGACGATAATAAATCACTGTAGTTAGCATTCGCTTATCAAGCATTTAAAAAAACACTGGATGTAGCGCGTGGAAGACGCAATTTTTTACGCACATTCTAATCACATCGTGTATAATACGCAGCGCATTTCAGTAGCATCAAGCACACGATAGCCTTGTATTTAACATACGTTAGGGTCCTATATATTAAAGACGTTATATAATTCTATTTACATCCAAGTACATCTCTTTTTTGGAAACCGCACAACACTTATCTTTTACATCCCAAATCGCTCATTTAAATTTACGTAATCCGGCATTTAAATTCGTGAAACTCTCACGTTTGCATTCATCGAAGAGGAATCACAAGAAAAAGAATCTGCATGAATATTTTACAGTAATATTTTTTCGACATTACAACTTCTTGAGGAAACACGAAATTGTTTTATTTCACACTCGAGTATTATGGAAAAAAAGTGCGTAGGAGATTGGAAATGACACGACGACGTGTTATTTCATCATTTCAATATTATTCAGCATCGGGAATCACAATATATCCGCTGTACAAAACAAAAATTCATTCTCGCGTATATTATATTTTATTTCTTTCATATGCACGAGGCATGAAACTTAAAAGTTAAATTTTCTCACCACTGTATTTTCTATTTGCGTATTTCGTTTTATATTTCCTATGATTCGTTTTATTTTACTCTGCGTTTCCTCTGATAGCTTATTGGAGATTTGCTTATCAGTTATATAAATTTCAAGTTATGTGTGTATGTGTGTGTATGTTTATGTATGTATTTATATAATATCTGTATGAGTTGGACTCCATATGAGCCATAGAAAAATAATAGTCGCAAATAATATTCTTATTCTGTTTCTTCCACGTCTTATATTTTTAAGGACATTATCATGCTTTTAGTCTTACTTGTATCGCCATTTAACACAATTCTACGCGCAGTATCGTCATGTGTCAAAAAGGATTCTTCGAAAGCGTGAATAGTCAACTACAATCGAATTACAATGACAAAAATTATCTTTATGCATTTAACACTTTGGAAATCTTTGCCACGATTCATTTTTACACTTAACGCATACAAACCCAGTTCATCGTTTATGTATACAGAAAATTGTTCTTGTTTCAAGACTAGAACGCTTGAATAAATGTATAAAAAGAAAATCAATTAAGAAATTATGATTTTACTTGAATATACATGTATGATCATTATTTAACATAAATAATTATTTAAATACGTTGTTTCTCCTCCACATATATGTATTTTGAATATAAGTGCTCCAATTTCTTCCTAAGTATGTATATTATCAGAATACCAGAGAAAAAAAAGAGATGTACATATATAATTGGCAAAATAATAACTTAAGATATAATTATAAATAATGTGTGCACCTTTGAAAAACATTGATTTTAATTGGCATTATAAATTATAAATTTAATATAATTTATCATTGATTATATAATGTAGGTTTAGAGTTCCATTTAATGAAAATACTCAATATATTCGAAAGCAATCGAGGAATCCTTAGTTTAGAACACGATGACAATAATGTAACATGATTTAGAACTTAGCTACTTACAACAATACGACTGACGCTTACAACTTTCATAATTCTAGACGCAGATCTTACAAAGAAAGAATAAACAGACCGCAAGCTTCCAATTTAATAATACAAAAATTCTATATAAACTGGTTTTCTCTCATTTTCCCACTTATTATATATTCATCTATCTTAATAAAATTATATGTTTACATGAATTCCATGCTAAGCACTTGAAGAATTTTGTCTGCGTATGCTCAAAAGAAAAAAAAGAAAAAACAAAACAAAATAAAAGGATATCTTTTTTCGCCAAATTTGCCTTGTACTATATATTTCACAGTATTTCTATTCTCGACAAATGCAATTAGATACAATCGATTTTTACATACTTTGATGAGAAAGTACTTTTATGCACGTCTGTTACCATCCACTTCCGATATACGGATACAAACCAGCTATTCCATAACGACCAGTATCATCAAGTCACCATCATCATAAAGCCATTCCATAATTATTTATAGTCAAGTCTTGAGAAAACCGGACTGAAGAATGATCACGATCGAATTGTACAATTTTTCCTAGCTACAAACTAATTTGTTTAAAGTGTAGCTTCAGATTAAGAATTTTTCTCATTAAGAATTTTATCGATAGACACATACTTCTAATTAAATAAAACTTATGACTATTTCCCCTCCCATAATTTTCTTCCTTAAATGTTCTTATATCTGAATCCACAAATAAGTATCAATATAAAAAAGAAGGGTAAGGAACAACATCCTAGTTGTAATTGACTTTACTTCCCTGACGAAAATGTATTTTTTTTTTTCTTGACGCCAACTCATCGTGATCATTGTCGACTAAGCGATAAGAAAATTTGTCTCTAAAAGTACCTTCTTCGATCTCGTCGCAAAATATCGATGCAAAGAGTCATATGCGCCAGAAACGTCCATATGTGCGATTCTTGTCATCTAACTCCACACGTAACCACCGGTTCGGCGCTTGCAAGAAAAAAAAAAGCGCGCTTCCTTATACAATATAATCTACAATTACGCCGGCCGCGTGTATCTTTTGTTATTCGATTGCCAAATTCTAACCCAAATCAGTCCGTAACGGTAGACCACATATCGTAAAAATCTTAATCTATAGTTCAATACTTATATATAGCAGCGCATCGCTCATACTCCGCGGCATATTACTTATACTCTTTTACGCCGTACCGGTGACAAATTACATTCTTCCTTTATATTTAAATAACGTTCGTCTGCGATTGAGAGGCAGACTGTTCGTTGGTCGCGCGATTTTGACTCACCGTATTATTCTGTAGTTGGTTAGGAGGCTTTCGATTACCGCCCCTGCTACCTCGATAGCCACCCCGGAAACCGGGGTTGCCACCACCGCTGCCTCTGTACATGTTTCCCATTCCGCGAGTGAAATAACCACGGCCGCGGAATCCTCCGCGTCTCGTGGAAGCTACGCCAAACGTTTCCGAATTCAGCTTTCGTTCCGTTCTCCAATCCGTGCGTTGGAATCGCCTAAAAAAAATTCATGTCAAATATTTCATAAAAATACTAGTGAAGAAATAATATAAAAAATCCAACGTGCAACAGTCATTTCGTTATATCAAAGAATTAATTTTAAAGTTGAGAAAATTAAATTTATATTTGGATTAAAATAAACTTAGGGGTACTTGGATTCAAATACTCTTAACAAATTTTTTACAATCTATTTTTATAAATCTTTAAACAAGTATACGCGTGTGTTAATATGCTGTTGTATTAATTTGTTTTAAATTGTACAATAATTATATCCACTGAACATTTTTAATAACATACCCTTTACTCCTTTCGACAGCTTCACAGCTAATATTATCAAAGAATGACTTCGATTTATCATAGTGAACAATCTCTGGTTCTTCCTCAGGTTCACCTTCACCCGCGCCTGTTTCATTCCCACTGTCGTCTTTCTTCTCGTTGTCTGTGCCATCGATCTTCGTTTTTGCCAATTGCGATCTGAAATATATAAAAAACAATATATTTTATTATATCATTAAAAGTAATTTTATAATACATTGTTAGTGCGAAGCGTAAGCAATTCATATATTATGTACGATTGCTTTAAATTCGCATTGATTTACTTTTGCATGGTATCCACATTGGTCATTTCAATGATTACTTGAAATGAATCCGGCACGTAACCATGCGAAATCAACATCCAATGAAACATTTTTAGTCTTACCTCAACTCTTCGAATTCAGTGTTGGCTTGCTCGAAATCATAGTCATTGTCAAATTTGAGTGTATTCTTAGGCTTGGCACCAGCGTTGCCTGCTTGAATCGTACGGAAATTACCGCGTCCTCTACCTCCTCCTCTACCTCTCATATTGCCGCGATTCACCCAACCACCTTGGGGATGATGACCGCGGTTACCTCGACCACCTTGGCCATGACCTTGGTTATGGCCATCGTGCTTCATCATGTCCCTCTTTGCATCGTTATAATGAGACATGCCCATATTAGCCTTAGCACTTCCGTGACTATACATACAAAAAATTTTATATTAAAATTCTGTGGTTTTAAATTTGTTTATCAAATAATATTAATAATAACAGTAATAAATATATGTGTATATATGAAATCGTTCTCTAATTTGCAATTAGAAAATCCAGCACTAAACAATGAAGATAAAATATAAAAAGTTATAAATGCGATCATATTTCTAATATCAAAAAATTCTAAACAAATAAAACTCTTACTCTTAAAAGTAATCTTTTATCGTTTCACTATAAAAGCACAAAAACAATTAATTCTTAAGTAAAAATTACAAAGTACCTATCGTGATCTCGACGAGGCGGTTGGACGGTTCTGATGTTTGACTTGTCATTCATTTTTCCAATGTTACTACTCTGCTGCTGCGATTGCTGTTCATGTCCTACCTGAATACCTTGATCCATGGTTGGGCTTTTCCTTGTGAGTAAGGATGATGTAGGAGTGGTAGAACGAGAACCACCACTGATGAGATCCAATACACCTGTCATTTTAAAATAAATGCATCAAGTAATGTATATTTTTACTAACGTAAGAGAGCAATCATAGCAGATCTCGAAGATGTAAGCATTCCTAATTCAACATAAAACTTTAGTATAAGAAAATAAAGACAAACCTTTCATTCCCAATTTTAAATAAAAGGATATATATGTCTATAAAAGTTTCACATATATGATGTAAAAGAAATCTCTCGAGGATTTTTTAACAATTACTGTTGTTCATTGTTACTGTTCTTGCTATTTTGTTTTTGGTTATGATATAAGCACAAGTGGAATAAAATTTAAAAATGCATATGCAAAAAATTTCATGCATTGATCTTAAAAATGTAAGAGTTGAATTACAATATGCACGCTTTGAATAGCCAATGTAAAAAATATTTTTTTTAATTTATCAAAATATTAAGATTTTAAAATACAGAAATTATATCATGCGTAAAAGTGCAAAGCAATATTTACTTAATTAACATTGTGAAATGTATGTATAAAGAATAGATGGGTGCAAAAAGTATGAAGCTTGCAAAATACTAAAAATAATAGCATGTAAGAGCTCTTATTAATAGAATAGATAGTTTAAATTTCATTGTTATAAAATTAATCATAGGTGTAAAATGATGCTGTTAAAATACCATCATGTATATTCCCATATATTTTATGCCAGTTTTTAATAGAACAAAGCTCAATAGAAAAAAGCTTTACAAGCATTACCAAAGCAGGAGCAGCAAGAAGCATGCCAGCAAGGCAAGGGGTATTTCATAGCAAAAACAGTTTACCATCTTCCAGAGATTGATCTTTTGGTAATGGGTCGATATTGGCCGTTGGCAGTGAGTTTGGGATAGAGATGGCATTGGGTTCAGCGGAGCCCAAGCTCAACTCACTTTGCTGTTTATTAATTGTTCCGCGAGGATCTCTAGCTGCAGTCTGCATTCCCATTACTGGGCCCATGGCTCCCATACCCATGCCGTAGGGGGCTCCGTATTGGCCACCCATTGGGCCCATCTGGCCCATCATCGGATGGCCATAACTGGGCTGCGGTTGATATGATTGATTTTAATTGGCATTATAAATTATAAATTTAATATAATTTATCATTGATTATATAATGTAGATTTAGAGTTCCATTTAATGAAAATACTCAATATATTCGAAAGCAATCGAGGAATCCTTAGTTTAGAACACGATGACAATAATGTAACATGATTTAGAACTTAGCTACTTACAACAATACGACTGACGCTTACAACTTTCATAATTCTAGACGCAGATCTTACAAAGAAAGAATAAACAGACCGCAAGCTTCCAATTTAATAATACAAAAATTCTATATAAACTGGTTTTCTCTCATTTTCCCACTTATTATATATTCATCTATCTTAATAAAATTATATGTTTACATGAATTCCATGCTAAGCACTTGAAGAATTTTGTCTGCGTATGCTCAAAAGAAAAAAAAGAAAAAACAAAACAAAATAAAAGGATATCTTTTTTCGCCAAATTTGCCTTGTACTATATATTTCACAGTATTTCTATTCTCGACAAATGCAATTAGATACAATCGATTTTTACATACTTTGATGAGAAAGTACTTTTATGCACGTCTGTTACCATCCACTTCCGATATACGGATACAAACCAGCTATTCCATAACGACCAGTATCATCAAGTCACCATCATCATAAAGCCATTCCATAATTATTTATAGTCAAGTCTTGAGAAAACCGGACTGAAGAATGATCACGATCGAATTGTACAATTTTTCCTAGCTACAAACTAATTTGTTTAAAGTGTAGCTTCAGATTAAGAATTTTATCGATAGACACATACTTCTAATTAAATAAAACTTATGACTATTTCCCCTCCCATAATTTTCTTCCTTAAATGTTCTTATATCTGAATCCACAAATAAGTATCAATATAAAAAAGAAGGGTAAGGAACAACATCCTAGTTGTAATTGACTTTACTTCCCTGACGAAAATGTATTTTTTTTTTTTTCTTGACGCCAACTCATCGTGATCATTGTCGACTAAGCGATAAGAAAATTTGTCTCTAAAAGTACCTTCTTCGATCTCGTCGCAAAATATCGATGCAAAGAGTCATATGCGCCAGAAACGTCCATATGTGCGATTCTTGTCATCTAACTCCACACGTAACCACCGGTTCGGCGCTTGCAAGAAAAAAAAAAGCGCGCTTCCTTATACAATATAATCTACAATTACGCCGGCCGCGTGTATCTTTTGTTATTCGATTGCCAAATTCTAACCCAAATCAGTCCGTAACGGTAGACCACATATCGTAAAAATCTTAATCTATAGTTCAATACTTATATATAGCAGCGCATCGCTCATACTCCGCGGCATATTACTTATACTCTTTTACGCCGTACCGGTGACAAATTACATTCTTCCTTTATATTTAAATAACGTTCGTCTGCGATTGAGAGGCAGACTGTTCGTTGGTCGCGCGATTTTGACTCACCGTATTATTCTGTAGTTGGTTAGGAGGCTTTCGATTACCGCCCCTGCTACCTCGATAGCCACCCCGGAAACCGGGGTTGCCACCACCGCTGCCTCTGTACATGTTTCCCATTCCGCGAGTGAAATAACCACGGCCGCGGAATCCTCCGCGTCTCGTGGAAGCTACGCCAAACGTTTCCGAATTCAGCTTTCGTTCCGTTCTCCAATCCGTGCGTTGGAATCGCCTAAAAAAAATTCATGTCAAATATTTCATAAAAATACTAGTGAAGAAATAATATAAAAAATCCAACGTGCAACAGTCATTTCGTTATATCAAAGAATTAATTTTAAAGTTGAGAAAATTAAATTTATATTTGGATTAAAATAAACTTAGGGGTACTTGGATTCAAATACTCTTAACAAATTTTTTACAATCTATTTTTATAAATCTTTAAACAAGTATACGCGTGTGTTAATATGCTGTTGTATTAATTTGTTTTAAATTGTACAATAATTATATCCACTGAACATTTTTAATAACATACCCTTTACTCCTTTCGACAGCTTCACAGCTAATATTATCAAAGAATGACTTCGATTTATCATAGTGAACAATCTCTGGTTCTTCCTCAGGTTCACCTTCACCCGCGCCTGTTTCATTCCCACTGTCGTCTTTCTTCTCGTTGTCTGTGCCATCGATCTTCGTTTTTGCCAATTGCGATCTGAAATATATAAAAAACAATATATTTTATTATATCATTAAAAGTAATTTTATAATACAATGTTAATGCGAAGCGTAAGCAATTCATATATTATGTACGATTGCTTTAAATTCGCATTGATTTACTTTTGCATGGTATCCACATTGGTCATTTCAATGATTACTTGAAATGAATCCGGCACGTAACCATGCGAAATCAACATCCAATGAAACATTTTTAGTCTTACCTCAACTCTTCGAATTCAGTGTTGGCTTGCTCGAAATCATAGTCATTGTCAAATTTGAGTGTATTCTTAGGCTTGGCACCAGCGTTGCCTGCTTGAATCGTACGGAAATTACCGCGTCCTCTACCTCCTCCTCTACCTCTCATATTGCCGCGATTCACCCAACCACCTTGGGGATGATGACCGCGGTTACCTCGACCACCTTGGCCATGACCTTGGTTATGGCCATCGTGCTTCATCATGTCCCTCTTTGCATCGTTATAATGAGACATGCCCATATTAGCCTTAGCACTTCCGTGACTATACATACAAAAAATTTTATATTAAAATTCTGTGGTTTTAAATTTGTTTATCAAATAATATTAATAATAACAGTAATAAATATATGTGTATATATGAAATCGTTCTCTAATTTGCAATTAGAAAATCCAGCACTAAACAATGAAGATAAAATATAAAAAGTTATAAATGCGATCATATTTCTAATATCAATTCTAAACAAATAAAACTCTCTTACTCTTAAAAGTAATCTTTTATCGTTTCACTATAAAAGCACAAAAACAATTAATTCTTAAGTAAAAATTACAAAGTACCTATCGTGATCTCGACGAGGCGGTTGGACGGTTCTGATGTTTGACTTGTCATTCATTTTTCCAATGTTACTACTCTGCTGCTGCGATTGCTGTTCATGTCCTACCTGAATACCTTGATCCATGGTTGGGCTTTTCCTTGTGAGTAAGGATGATGTAGGAGTGGTAGAACGAGAACCACCACTGATGAGATCCAATACACCTGTCATTTTAAAATAAATGCATCAAGTAATGTATATTTTTACTAACGTAAGAGAGCAATCATAGCAGATCTCGAAGATGTAAGCATTCCTAATTCAACATAAAACTTTAGTATAAGAAAATAAAGACAAACCTTTCATTCCCAATTTTAAATAAAAGGATATATATGTCTATAAAAGTTTCACATATATGATGTAAAAGAAATCTCTCGAGGATTTTTTAACAATTACTGTTGTTCATTGTTACTGTTCTTGCTATTTTGTTTTTGGTTATGATATAAGCACAAGTGGAATAAAATTTAAAAATGCATATGCAAAAAATTTCATGCATTGATCTTAAAAATGTAAGAGTTGAATTACAATATGCACGCTTTGAATAGCCAATGTAAAAAATATTTTTTTTAATTTATCAAAATATTAAGATTTTAAAATACAGAAATTATATCATGCGTAAAAGTGCAAAGCAATATTTACTTAATTAACATTGTGAAATGTATGTATAAAGAATAGATGGGTGCAAAAAGTATGAAGCTTGCAAAATACTAAAAATAATAGCATGTAAGAGCTCTTATTAATAGAATAGATAGTTTAAATTTCATTGTTATAAAATTAATCATAGGTGTAAAATGATGCTGTTAAAATACCATCATGTATATTCCCATATATTTTATGCCAGTTTTTAATAGAACAAAGCTCAATAGAAAAAAGCTTTACAAGCATTACCAAAGCAGGAGCAGCAAGAAGCATGCCAGCAAGGCAAGGGGTATTTCATAGCAAAAACAGTTTACCATCTTCCAGAGATTGATCTTTTGGTAATGGGTCGATATTGGCCGTTGGCAGTGAGTTTGGGATAGAGATGGCATTGGGTTCAGCGGAGCCCAAGCTCAACTCACTTTGCTGTTTATTAATTGTTCCGCGAGGATCTCTAGCTGCAGTCTGCATTCCCATTACTGGGCCCATGGCTCCCATACCCATGCCGTAGGGGGCTCCGTATTGGCCACCCATTGGGCCCATCTGGCCCATCATCGGATGGCCATAACTGGGCTGCGGTTGATATGATTGCTGACCTATAGATGGCTGCACTGTCATCTACGAACAAAATACATTAATGTGTATAATATAATTAATTTCACTGTTTTTAAATATTGTGTTTGTGTCAAATTTAAGAGTTTCTAAGTGAAAAATATAAAAATTTGATAAAATAATTACCTGCACAATAGCTGGATCATTGGGAATAGAACTAACATTATTGACAACTCTAATGTCTTTGATGTCAGATCCACGAAACAGGATGTACTCGTACACTTGATTTTGTGGTGCCACAGGAAGTTGAGTTTCTCGGTCCTCAGTACCAAAGGAGCGCACTAAAAAGCAATTAGTAATTCATTTCAAGTTTTTGCAATTAAAAAAACATTGCTACAATTTCTTGTTTTATATTAATATTGAATGGGTTATATATTACATAGATATATCTCTAAGTTATTTTAAAGTAATTAAAATAGGACTTTTTCATTTAAAGTAATTAAAGTAATTAAAATAGGGCTTTTTCATTTAAAACATAATATTTACAAATTTAAAATAATAGAATATATCCAATACCTAAAAATTACATTATACTAACAGCATTATTACTTATATTGCTATAAATTTATTGTACAAAATCTTTGTCTAATATTTATTTTATTTAACATTAAGTAGCATCGACAGAAGAGAGAGAAATTTTATGTTCTTCTTTATATAACTCATATAATATACAGAGATCAATATATATACATACATATATATATATATATAGTATAATTAATACACATCTCGTTTGAACAAATTCATAGATAAAAGCCCGATTCTCTCAGCTGGAGGCCCACACAAGTTTCTTACGCATTTTATATCCTTCATGAAACAATTTATGAATTGGCTACTGCGAGTAAATAAACACGAGAGAGTATATCGTGTAATTTAATATCCAATTAATAATCGATCAGACACGGTGGTGCTATAACTTGCGAACGGTGAAATGTTGATTAACCGCGAATAT